TTATTATTATTAAGTACATATTAGTCAATTAGTAGATAGATTTATTGTATAAATCATTATTTATTATTTATTGATTTGAGATAAGTATCGAATAATAAAGAAAAAATCAAAGTGCAGAACTTCAATATTTGTTAACATTATTAAGAAATAAGAGTTGATTAACGCGAATTCTTATTGGTGAACTTCTAAACTGAATAAGTTATTTATTACTTTTTATATTTAATAGATAATAGGATTTCATGTATGAAAAATATTTCGTAACATCAATAAAACATGTGAGTGGCAATGAAAAGACGAGAATATATTATTTCGAAACTGATATTGTTATACACTGATAACCAGTTCCTTATAAAGAAAGAATATTTTTTATTTAGAATCTCAAATTATCTAATGGTTATTGCCAACTCTCATGTTATACTGCTAATTTAATAACAAATATGACTTATAGTTGCATTATTAATTATGGCACATCGTAAGTAATAATGTTTCATATATTAGTATTAGTCGATTGATATATCAAGCTGGCAGGCAGAAAATGTAGAATAATAGATCCAAGTAATATTTGAAAGTTGTTTAATAGCTTTCAAACTTCAATTATTCATATAATTCGGCGCACTTCTGTAGTATTGTATTTAAATTACAATTTGAATGCTCCTAAAAATGTTTTAAGTGCAAGGAAAGGAAAGAAGCTTTGAGCCGCAAACCTTTTTGGATCAGCAAATTTTTCTCGCCATTCTTTATATTCACGATAAAGACCTTAATAAACGGGCTGTCCTCGGTGTCCTTGTGGCATTAGCACAAACCTTAGGCTCCGGGCCCGATGAGCGTGGATCACGCAATCTCCGGGGTATGTTTCTCGGAAAGTCAAAAAGTGAAACTCGAGAACTGCGTGTGGGCCGTAGTTTTAAGCGGGCGACGACGACAGCGACGGCGACGACGGCGACGCGATCGACGATGACGACCTCCCGGTTACGGAGCATCGGCATCGGCGGCTCGTCTCTGACATCGGAGATCGTCGTGGATTCTCAATCCTGGCCCATTCCGTTTCACTTTCATCTCTTCCTCTTCTTCTCGCGTTTTTTCATTTTTAAATAGTTGCGTGCTTTCTGAAGTTGGCCGTTTTTTTTCCCTTTTGAAGATTGTGAAAGGTAGTCTCCTCTTGTCGTTTTCTCTAAAGCCTTCAGTGGTGTTCAAGGGGATCTTAAATTTCAAATATTTTTTTCATCCTATCCGAGATGCTGAAGTTTAAGGTATCTTTAGCCTACTTTTTCGTTATTCATCCTTCACTTAAGATCTAAAAGGTTTACTTCTAAAAATATTAGAAGCAATCGCATCACGTGCCTCTTTTAATCACCAGATTACACGATGATGCGTTTATTAAAGAATTTTTCAAAGGTTATCATTAGCGTGCGACTTATGTGCGTATGCTCGGTAGTCCATATTGGCCGATCCAGTACAGCAGGTTTAATAAGTAATTTCGCCGAAATAATTACTGCGCCATATCTTCGCGTACAGAGCTGCGTATAACCAACACATATGCAATATGTATCCTGTATATTCGATGTAGAAAAAGGTAGGAAAAGCAAGAAGATCGAAAAGTAAAGAGCATTCTTTCGTCTACTCTACGCTCAATGGAGCAAATAGGAGAAATATTCTTGATAAAATGATGTTTAGGTCATATTTTAAATCAATAATAAAAATAAGAAAAATTTATTCAAAGGCAAGCGTATCTTCTTTCATCATTTTAAAACTCTACAAAATAGCTTATATCTTCGAAGCACCAAAAAGGATGAACGCGTCAAGGAACACGAAAGCAAAACATTGAAACAAGATATATTATTCTTTTTGATAAAATTACTATCGATTCTAAAACAATAACAAAAAATTGTAAAAAAAAAAAAAAAAAAAAAAAAAAATCCAAGAAAAAAATCATATTTTATCGAAGTAAATATTTAAAATATTCTAACGCACGTAAAATTTTGGATCTAATGTCAACAAAGATAATTATGACCAGCAGCAACTTTGTTAATTCAAATATTTATGATGTATTGGATCAAAAGAAAAAAAAAAAAAAAGAAAAAAGAAAAAAAAAAATACACGCACACACGCACAGACTGACAATTGTTTTTCGCTTCTTCTTCGTCAATCAATTTTATGAATAATCGTTCCATTAACAATAAGTAATGTTATATACCGTCGCGGATAAAATTTAATATATCGAATAAGATCATATTTTAAACGATAAATAGAGTAAAATAAAATAAATGGATAATAAAATTTTTACTTTGAAATCTTCTTTTTAAAATTTCCATTGCACGCATGCTCGAAGCAACGAAGTTAATTCATGAAGTTCGAATGAACAGGTGGTCCCTTGCGCAAATTCATATTAAATATACAACATAGCTTAGAAAAATTTACAATTTCATTCGTTACAATGAAAATGTTGCATTTCAGGGAAGAAAATAATAATTGCTTGCACACACGACCGATCCTCCATCACATTAAATGACACAGTAGTTCTCAATGTAGCACCGTTGCCGTTTAAGTCATAGTCCTTCACAAACATATGCTAATTAATCCATACTTCTTTAATATAATGACAATACGTAAATAAATCGATACACTTAATTATATGATCGATTAATCGATCGTATAGTAGAATATCATGAATTGTACGACTAATATACCACTCATTGATTTTTTATTTTTTATTTTTTTTTTTTTTTTTTTTTTTTTTTTTTTTAATTTCAATTTAAATTACGGCACAAGATATTTCACCATAATCTCTCGGTTTTAACTCAACTATCCAGCTGGGCTGGATGGTCATCTACTGGATTATAATGAAATGCCCTGTAACGAAACTCTAGCGTTTTGTATAAGGCTCCTGTAGAATGCACGGAGGCCTTTATCAGTTATAACTAACCAAGCTGGTCGTCGATCTACTTCCCATTGAACGAATTTATAACTCTCGACGAGTGGAGGGACGAATGAAAATGACCCTGGTTGAGGAATATCGAGCAGTCGCCTATTGAGTAAAGTTTTCTGCAACCTCTCTCCATAGCGTAGATATTCGCCAAGGAAATGGCGAATAACGAGCTTAGCAGCAAATTATATCGCGCAAAGTTATGGCGATTTACTTTTTAAAGAGAGTTGAAATTACAAAAGTATATACGCGTATATTAAGTAGAAAGCCGTTTGCGGAGGCTATTCGTCTGTAATGTAAGAGTCGATTGAGTTGTTCGCGGGTTATGCATGGGTTTGAAATTCTATCAGACTCAAGTTGCTAAAGAAAGGCGGCTGCCACTACACACTACACTCCTTCTCTATAGCCTAGGCTCATGCACGGACTTGCCTCTGGACCGCTACTGCTCTTAATTTTTACTTGCCAATGCCATGACGATTAAATTACTACCTTCTTTTTTTCATCCTCATCGGGTGCACATTTCTTCTGCCTTTTCTTCTTCTCCTTCTTCTCCCCCTTCTTCTTCTTCTTCTTCTTCTTCTTCTTCTTCTTCTTCCGCTTATGCCTCTCTATTTTAACGAATATCGAAGAATTCTATACAAAAACGGTCTTTATCATTGCAATTCATTGATAAGCGTTTGATGACAAAATTACTGTTTTTTACATGGTTGCGATACATCAATTTTAAATTTATAATTATATTTACTTCGCGAATATAGGTTAGAATAAAGTTTCCTTTATTTCATCTTCTTCGTTTTGCTCTTATTTATTTATTTATTTACTTTTAAATGCGTTTGCTGCACAAGAATAAATATTAAATGGCGTTACAAATTGCATTGCGCCATGGATGTTTTGTTGTCGGTAAAAAATTTGTCGCGCACGTGATTGCTGAATATTGTAGCTGTAAGTACTTCGATAACTTGGTTAGTCGCCACTATTCGCTATTAACATTTATAAATACATAATTATTCAAGTGTCAATGAGGAGATAAAACAAAACAAAAACAAAAAAAAAACAAAAAAACACAAAAACAATTAAATAATTGTAATTGTTACGTTGCAGCAATTATTTATCTACTGATACGACGGATAATAATTTTCTTCTTCTTCTTCTTCTTGTTTTTCTTGCAAAGAGTTAGAGTTGAATTTAAAGCGCACTTAGGTGTGTGAATGTAATTAAATAAATATAAATATTAACGTCCTAGGCATTATTTCAAGCCATTTGGTGTACTTAGTATGTTCGAACTCATTGAAATCATTATTATGGGCTGGAAGACAGTATTGTACCTTTGCTCATAATTTATATTAAAAATTTGTTGTATGGCTTTTAAAACAAAATTGAATTATTCAATTGTATTCGTAAGCGTATTTAAATTCCATTTGAAATGACTCAATGAATTTTAAAAGGATACGTTACTCTAAAAATGGTAAAGTATTTTATAAAATTTGTAGCGTCTTCGTTGGCATTGCATTTGCCGATCTAATGAAAATAATCACGAACGTGAACACGCACACACATCCGCACATCATCAACACATCCACTGGCAAATAGAGTTGCGCATGGATACGCAAATGCATGTGCAGATATGCACACATGCATATATATTATACGTGTCACGCGTTTGCAGCGCTAATGGCGATTACATCGAGTACTACGTACTCAAAAAACTTCTTTATCGACAATTTATCCTGTACACACAATTTCTTTGCGTTTGAAAATATAATTTTTGTATTAATGCTTACGTACTTATTCTTCACGAATAATAATTATCGTGGTGGTTGACATATTGCTCTATCGCTATTTTCACGGATCATTTAGCAATAGAATTCTACCGCATGCGCATTATATATATATATATATATATATATATATATATATTAATGCGAATTAGTCGAATTTATACATTAAGAGTAAAATTTCGTGATTAATAATCGAGATAATTAATTTGTTATTATCGTTTGAATTTGGATAAACAAAGTATTTATTTATTTTTTTTTTTTTTTTTTCCTACGTACAGGAAAATTACGAGATGGCCACGATAGTGGCGACACGTATCCGGCCACGTTATAAGTTAATCATGAGGTGTAATGTCAACTTGGCTCTCAACTTCATGTCGGCGTAACATTGGACCTTCCGTGTTTCCGTGTATTATTGTCTTTTAATATAAAAATACGTTTGGAGAAGCTTAACTTTAATGATAGACATTTGAGGGAACGATTGATTGATTAATCGAGGATAAAATGAATTACCGGTCGCCGCTTTTGCTTTCGCTTTCAATTCTCGGGCTCGTCTTCCGCGCAAGTGGTGTTGAATTAACCTTCGAGCTCCCCGATAACGCAAGAGAATGTTTTTATCAAGAAATTGAAAAGAATGTTACGTCCACTCTTGAATTTCAGGTAGTTGCACGTACAATAGACATTTATTACTTTAATGCTGCACGTATTCATTTATTTTTTACTTCTTGTATTTACGACATTCAATGATATGTCAATGGATTTTGTTAAATTTTACAATATGCTTATTTAGGTTGTTACTGGTGGTCAGTATGATGTTGACGTTACTTTAGAATCTCCTACCAAAGAGATTATCTACAAACAAGTGAAAACTCAATTTGATTCGCATACTTTTAAACCATCTGTGTCGGGTGTTTACAAGGCATGTTTCAGCAACGAATTCTCCACGTTTTCTCATAAACTTGTTTATATGGATTTCCAAGTCGGAGATGAGCCACCGCTTCCAGGCCTCGGCGATCACGTCACTGTTATGACTCAAGTAAGAAAATTCATTCGTCAACTTCATTATAATGATATAATTATACAAAATTTGTAATTCTGTTAATTTAATGTTCGAGCTTGAGTTTGTTGTATCGTTATAAGCGATAGTAGATAAGACATTTTCTAATTTAAAAGCAAATGCTTATGTAGAAATTTAATTAATAGATGGAGTCTTCGGCTCAAGAAATACACAGAAACCTAAATCGTATTCTTGACTACCAAACGCATCATCGTCTTAGAGAAGCTCAAGGTCGCAAAAGAGCCGAAGATTTGAACGATCGGGTTTTATGGTGGTCCGTACAAGAGACCATTGCTATAATTGTCACGAGCGTGGGTCAGGTATTGATTCTCAAAAACTTCTTCACAGAAAGGAAGCCACCGTATTAGAGTATTAAATCGATTTAGGTAAAGAAATCTATGATAAATAAACATTGATCAACTTATATCGTCCATATCCTTCATTAACATCCAAGCGACGGTCAAAGTTGAGGGACTTGGGTGCGACGTATGGGAATTAGAAAGGACACTGTTTGTGTGAAATGTGAAATTTATGTGTGAAAATCTGATTAAAATGTATATTTAATTTTAAATTTTGAAAGGAATGTATTTGGTCATCACTGTTAATTAACAATTTAGTCAGTCTTTGTAACACTTGATGAGAATTGAATGCGAGATTGAGAATTTGTGTGTGTTTTCTTATAGTGCACATGTAATATAAAACCAAATTAAAACATTTCTGAAAACACGAGCGTTTCTAATTCTATTTCAATCCTTTCAATTACACGTAAATTGCAAATTAATATGAAATAATTTGCTCTCGTGCTCTTTGAAATTTCTGTCGTATAAAAGCAATTTCGTATGTAATTGCACAAGCGTTTACATAATTTTAACTACACCGTTTATAAAAACAGTTTTATATTGGTAATAAATTTTATCTAATTCCTCTAACCAATGAACCAATAATCCAATAATGAGAATACAGTTACACACGCTCGCATTAAGCTAATGAATATTTCATTTCTTATTGCTTTTATATCTATAAGTATAATAAGCCTAAGCCTTTACGCAAACATAACCCCAACACTTGAGTAACCTCAATATCTCCTGTATAATTAAATTAACTGACAGATGTTCTTACCTGCCGCAGGTGAGACAAATGAGCACAGTGGATCTATGAGTTTATGTTCGCTCGCTCGGACCACATTCTCATAAATGACTGTGAAATTTGTAGCTTTAATGGTACTTTGGCAAGATCGTCTTACCGACTAGAAAATTATTAATGTTATAAGCTATCGTACGTGCGTCGGTGTAGTGATTTAAACATAATTAAACAAGATTAATATTGTGACACGAGTAATCACATAACCAACATCTGCGAAAGAAGTAACAGCTGTGATAATTTGACGGTCTTAATAGCGAAATAATCATTTTTATATCGATTACAACTGTTCGATATGCAGGTATTGTAATATTTACAAAGAATTACGATCGTTCATTAACTTGACGTATTGCGACAAAATTAAATGTGTTATATGTTTTTTAGGAACAAGATTGCTCGATCGTTATAAATACGGGAAAGTTATTTGAATGGCTCGTTAATAGAAGGCATTGTAAACGGGATTGGCAAGACAGCATTCCAATAATAAGAGAAAAAATCAATAATGCTTTAGAGACTATACCCGAGAACAAAGAATTATCAGAAATATTACGTAGTTCATGTACTTATATTCTATATTGTATATTCCGACATAATTAATGATGTAATTTGTACATAATTATAATTGCATATAATGCTTATAGATATAACATATTTTCACTGTCTAAGAATCAGAAAGATATTAGACAGCGGTACAGGTAATGGCAGATTGAGCAGTTATTTCAATACCAATGATAAAACGAAACCTTGGCGAAAAATTATATCCCTGTATGAAAAGGACAATGTCTATCTGGCTGAGGCGGCTCAAATGATAATAAACAATCTTAATTGTGAGATACCAACATTGAAGAAGCAGATACAAAATCTAGAACAAAAGAAAACTGTAATTTTATTAATTTTACTTTATTATTTACACGACATTTATATTATTAAGAAAATTTACTATATACATATATATATATATATATATCTGTATATAACATATTTCATAGGAATTCAAAGAGAAAGAAATTGAATATAAAAGATTAGAAAATCTATCATTTACAGAATACAATATTTGGTGTATGCAATTAGGAATAACAGGATTTTCTAAAAAAATAAAAAGTGAATTGATCGAAAAGTTACGCGAATTACCTGATATTTATGATAAGCTTGCCGAAAAAATTAAAGCATTAGATAATGTGGTTGAATTTTATAATGCATTTGTGGAATTTACTCTTGGCCACCGACATAATGGAGGCTGCGTTCCAATGATTAAATACATTATTGGTAATAATTTTATAGAAAAATTAATTATGATAATAATTGCGTCGAATTTCATATAATATATTATGTTTTAGATAAAGGAAATACAACGACTTACGAATGGACGTACGGAGAATGTCCGTTACACATAACCGAACCAATTCTCAATTATAATTTATACAATGATGATACAAGTCTTGAAGAATGTCAAATAGTATGTATTTTATTTATTTCATTCTATTTATTAATAAATAAACCGAAATTGAAAATTTTTGGTAAAACATGTATTAGACGAATTATCCTCTAAATTCAATTATTTCTAAATGTCGAAACAAATATTATTAAAATACTTACGATTTTTTGAAACTCTACAAATATGTTGGTAAGGGAAATTTTTAGATATTATGAAGCCATTAACAGGATTACTTTCATTATTATTCTGTTTAATGCTATTTTAAATTTAGTATAATTATTTTTCATTTCATTATCATTTCCTTTTTTGTTTTTTTTTTATTTAAAATTAATTACAATGAATATTTCACTGAATAGTGAAATAATTTCTATATGCAGAATATTTTATTCCAATGTTATATATTTATATTCGTTAATAAGTAAGTTAATAAAGAGTATGTAACTGGTAAGTGTATGAGAAATAATGTCAATATAATACCATTAATGTTAATTAACATTACAATAATTAATGTAACAATAATAGTAACATTGTAACAATTAATTTATAGGTAAATGATGACAATAAAATAGATTACAGCGATTTGAATTTGGATGCTGAAATAAATGTTGGCGATGAGAATCAATTAGATGGAGAAATAGATTGGAGTGGAATCGATGAAGATCCAGTAGCAGCAGTTGAAGGAGATTTTGATATTTCATTAGAAGAATCTGGCGTGTGTGTTGAGGATAAAGGAAATGACGAAGGACACGCAACTGGTGTTCAGGCACTCACAGTATTAGATAATATAGAGACAAGAAATGATTTCATCAATCAGCTATTTGAAGTAAGTTTTTTTTTATTTTTGAAGATTTTTTTACAATCTAATGTGAGAAGCTCATAAAATATTATATAATAATAAGCTTAAATAAAATATTTAACTATTTTGTAGTTGGAGGCATTTTTGAAATTGCGATTATACGAGTTTAAAAGTAATAGTAACAAAAATATTATGGACATTAGTCACTTGCAAGAATCGCCTATTCTTCAAGTTTCAACTATAGATAGTATACAGAACATGTTGGATAATGTTCAACTTATACTTTCGGAAATACTATTTGATCGTAAATTAGAGCATTTGCACAATATTAAACATTATCCAAAGTAAATGTGATTCATAATATTTAATATGGTGGTGATATATTTAGAATATATTAATTTGATATTTAACCTTCTCTTGTAGTTACGTTGACATGTTTATAGGAGTTTTCAAAAATTGTAAGGAAACAGCTAAGAAAATGCAACGGTTACAATTGACAATGCAAGATCAGCTAACGAAAATTACCAGCAAACTTAATGAAATTAAGTCACTGTTAAAAATCGTAGTTGCAAATACAAGAAATTTAAAAAATGATGTAAGATTAATGTTTTATCAAAGATTTCTTTATTATTTATAAAAATACAACAGTTTTTTTTTACTATATTTCAGATTGAGAAAGAGATTTCTAAAATGTATAATAATCGTAATGTATATTTGACAGGTGCAATAAATACTTTATAATAATATAACGAATATATAGGCGTCAATTTTATAACAAACATTTAATATAATTATTGTATATATCATAGTACTTATAACATATATAAAAAAATACTTTGAAATATATTATTATTATGACGAATACGTGTAAAAATTTGACCCTGTATATAACAATGTGTTTGTATGTGTGTGTGTTGTATATATATATATATATATATATATATATATATACACACATATACACATATACATATATATATATATATATGTGTGTATTTATGTATTTACTCTATAGTACATATCTTAAAAATTAATTAAATTAATGGTAACTCTTGTAAGACATTGGATTCTGTCGAAATAATAAAAAGATATTTTGATTAGCAATTTAGATGGCAACGTACTGATAAACCGAATCTTCTTAAATAATCATAAAAAGATTTTGTATTAAACGCCACGGCGAAGATGTACAGACTGCTTTATGCCTTGGACAACGGTACTTTCGCAGACATTCTGCAAATGATCTGTCGCATTCACAAAGTCTTTGAGCGCAGGATCCCGAGCTTCCCCATTCTCCATGCTCAATAGCTTGTAAAATTACAAGACGATATTATTTCCATGAATATTTAAATGAACTATCTTAGTATGGTAATAATTTAGTCGAAAAATATTTTTTTTATAGAAAGATACGAGCGGTTTAAAATAATTTCAATATGTGAAATAGTTTTAAATTATTATCATTGTTCCTTTGCAATAGGGCAATTTAAAAACTTATATTGACTAGATTAAGATTTTTCAAATTTTTTACAAATACTTTACCCAGTGTCGTTAGCGTAATAGCGTCCGTACTACTACTATTTTACAATTTGATACACATGGTATGGGCCAAACTATACATAATTAATCTATAAAAAAAGAAATTTAATTTTAAATAAACTAACCACATATGGGCTTATATCCGTGATAGCATTTCCAATAATAAGGAACGAAATACTCCACAAACATCGGGCATTCCGTAGCGTCGTAGCACCAGTCGTGCATTTTACAGCATCTATAGGACACAGATATTTTTTAAATTGCAATACCACGATCGGTAATAGAACGTCAGTAATAATCAAGAGGATAATTTGAAAGTTGAATTTCTTAAAAAAAAAAAAAAAAAACAAGCAAACAAAGATAAAGTATTTACCGGTCAATACCATCCATTGGATAACCGGACCCTAGAAAGCCACAGTAACATCCATAGCCTTTGTAAGCCAGGGGATTACATCCGGTTGCACAAACTATCATATTATACAAATGAGTTACAGCTCGTTTGAATCTTCTATGTCCACTTGCGATTGGTATACTGTTAATGTTTTGTTCGATTGTTAATAGATTGTACAGGAAAACTCGATAAACACATGTAGGACACATGTAGACAATACTTATATTATTTAATAATAATGTTTGTAAAGAAGAATGTTCTATTATTTTTGTAATAAATGCTTTTATCATTACTCACTAACTTATTATTTATTGATATTTAATAATTCGTAAAGTTCTTGATTGTACAGATCGTAAATTTTATAATTTTAACATTAATAGTTCCATTTTTTTTTTTTTTTTTTTTTAATGTGAATTTTACGCATTTTGATATTTATTAACAATTATAAGAAATTTAATAATAAAATTAATGTAATGATTAAGAAGTCTATTTAAAAAGAGTTAACAAAGTCAAGTCATAGTACTAATATAAATAATTATTCGAAATATATGTATATCATAAGCATCAGAACAATTAATAATCGTTATCGTTCAAAATAATATAAATTATAACGTTATGAATAATTAATACTTAGAGTTTTTAATTTTTATTATTCTTACATTTATTGCAAAGTAAATGGGATCTAATTTTATAAGGATTACCTTTTAATATTGTATAAGAGCAGTATATATATATATATATATATATCAAGTTTAAATTTAATAAATTATGCAAAATAAGGAAAAAATTTTATTTAATAAAATCTTACTCCAACGCAGTTTCATTCTTGTTCGATAAAATCACACTGTTGGTGAAATTATGGTATTTTGTTCGTAGTGCAAGTAACGATGAATTACTACGAAGATATCCACTATAACTGACATATAAAACGTCATCATCTTTACTATCCAATTCTATTTCATTTGACAAAATATTTGAACTTTTTTCAGCATTGTTGTTACTTATAAATTCTGGAATTACTCTTTCTCCATTTGATGTATCTGTAAAAGTACAGAAAAATTAGAGAAATTTGAGCATAAACTTTTTTTACTACTTATACGGAAAAACTACAGAACATTACATAGTTTCGAGTAATTATTGTTTTAAATTATTGTTTCAAAAGTAAGAATCTACAATTGTATAAAAGATCAAATATACCGACGATAATTTAGTTTAGATTCTGTAAAATAACTTTATTTAATAAGATAAATTAACTGTACATAATACAATGACTTGCTACAACTACTTATGACTAACTACAATGAAGCTTTCAATTATTTTAATGCTTAAAATACTGATAAATATAAGTAAAAATATTATTAAAAATGTAACGAATTAAAATATATTTAAATATATTAAAATTTATTTGCAATTTTACAATTTTATAGTTGTTAATATATTAGATGAATTTTTTTTCAATAAAATGTAATGTTGTATAAATTATTAATAAATAATTTAATCAATGTAAAATTTATTTACATATTACATGCATATAGAATAATTGTAATCAGAAGTTTTAATTTTGACGGATTAATTTTTAAAAATAAATTACTTTCCTGGATTAACGGATAAACAAATTACTTTGTTTATTATATATTATATATTATATGTTTTTATATTTTCTAAGATTGATACTAGAAATATTGTTCTTATTTCATTGATCATTGGCAATATTTTGTGTTTTTCTAGCCTTCCTATGGTTTGAATATTAAAATTAATTTAAAAGAAAATTATTTGATTAATTATCATTTCAAATTCTATTTTTTATGTTAATACTTTCCTTACAGTGTGGTAATATTGAAAAATAAAGACATTAAGTTATTTCATAATGCGAATTTTCAATCCAAATAAGTAAATGTATTTCACAATAGTGATGTAGTGCTTTGAATTCTATTCTTATTGTATATCACATTCTTTGAGTAAGGAAACTTTTTAAAATATCTAAATTGAATGTAGAATTTTAATTATATACAATATTACACGAGCGAAATGAATTTAGGATTTGTTTTGTGCAATTAATGACTTAGATGTACTAAAGATTAATCCTTTAGATTTTACAAGCTTAAGCATTTTTTTCATATCAATAATATAATATGTGAACAAAGATTAAAAAAAATGTTGGCAACAAATGTTTTTATTTATTTTCAGGACATGTTTAAAAAATATTACAATATTTAAATTATTTTACTAGATGTTTAATAGAATTTATAGATTCATATAAAAAATTAGATAATTCGTATGCATTGCTTAATTAGCAATATAAATTTCATTGGCATAGCTCTTTAAACATTATATTTTTGAAAATTATCTATAAATATTGAAAATATTTGTTGTAAATATACATTGTAAAGCAATAAATTTATTTAAATTTTGAAGATTTATTTTGCTTTTCTCCTTGTAAGCTATTAACTTTAATATTATACAATTAAAATAAATGTTAAAAGGTCGAATCATTATCTTCTTCATTCAAGTAAATAATCATCAAATTCTTTTTGCATACAAACCAATATATATAAAAAAAGATGATATATCATTTGTCATAATTAAATTTGACGAAAATGTTATCATATGTCAGTGTTGGGAACAGTAAAATAATAACACTAATTACATGCAGTATAAACAAACACTAGATGAAGTATTTATTCTATTCTATTCTTTATTGTGTGTTTGTGTTTGTGTGCGTGCGTGCGCGTGTGTGAGTATTGAATGTGAGGGTGGCAGATATTGGTACAGATTATCAAATGAATTAATTTTATTAATTTAATTAAATTAAATCATGCGTTATAATATAAGTTTTTATAAATACTCGGTCCTATATATTAGTGCTTAACTTGAATAATATTAAATAAAAGAATAGATTAATGTTACATTAGTGTCAGGGATTATTGTACGGGTAGGTTAAAGGTTTCATCTCTTTCGGAAATTAGAAAAATCAAATGTCGATAAAAAAAAAAACATGTTATTCTTAATGACAAAATAATAGTATCTTATTCACGTTCTAATATTTTTTGTAAGAATTGTCTTATTTAATATTTGGCCTTTTAACAAACTCTTTTGTTTTAGAATATTGTTTAGAATATGCTTCAATATCTTTTGTCTTGTTTTTTTTTTTTTTTTTTTATCAGAGTCGCTCACACTTTTCAATCTTAAAGGTTATTTGAAAAAAAAGTGTTTAATAGAAAATAGAATTTCGATTAAAAGGTCTAATATTATTATCTCGGCAAATTAAAATCTCAGAATTCTTATTGTAATGAGAAATTCAGAATGTAAGGAAGTATTTTGTTAACTGGAATTCCGGTTAACTCTATTATAATTAATTATAATTTGCTGATCTTTTTGTCATGTTAATATCATCCTGAGAAGTTTTGTAGACCATTATCTTTTCATTATTTAATGATCGGGGAGATAATTAAATCCATCAGAATTTAGGTGTCCAAATTGTATTCTCAAAGAATTGATTAAAAAAATCGTCGAATTTTAAGTAAAATTTACTGAAAAAGTTCATACCAACCATTTCTCATTCTCTTTATTTTTCTTCGTTAATTTTTATTTTCTAACGTATATTTTACATTTACAGTACAATCAAAATTTACTGATTTGTTAGATGTTTAAGGAAATGTTGATTGAAGAAAGCAGAACAATGTAATTTTTTTTTGTTGATAAAACAATTAATTATGAAACAAACAACAACAACAACAACAAAAAAAAGAAAAAGTTCATTAATATTCAACGACCAATAGACTGTTAATTCATAATGTATATATTATTTTTGTCTTATGCAGTTTGAATACCTTTATTTAAAACGTATCATTGTCTCTTTGTAAACATATAATTTTTTAGTTGTATAAACGAGAAAACAGCCTCAGATTTGACGTGAACGACGTTTAAATAAAAATAAAATTGAGTTTTAGATTATAAGGTATCCTCATATTTTATCAAAATAGTAGGTTTTAAGCTGGTTTGGCAATATAAGTTGTTAAAAAAAATTTAATACATTATATATATATATATAGATATTCACGTTTCATGTAATGTAGAACTTATTAGATAATTTTTAACAAATACTTATGACTAAAGATATTTCAACTCATATACGATTTACCAATTTTTCGACAACGTTTTTTATGCAACGCAGTCGTTGAAAAAAGATTAAATAAACGAAAATCAGTATCAGCAGATCAGTCTGTATGTTTAATTGAAAAAATCAATCATTTTAGTAATAATTTATAAAGCTTTTTTATAAATAATAAATAAATTCAAATCATGTCGAGTATCAAAATTGTATAAAACCAATTTTTAAAAGTACAATGCATAAATGTAAAAAAACTGCAATATTTTCATAAAATATACACTCCATACATTTTAATATTTTGCTCGAAAAATATAAATCATTATATTATACGTCTGTGTGAAATAGTTTTAATTGTATGTTCTATTAATAATGGTAATGAAGTTAGATTAATTTTTTTAGTGTAATACATAATAGATAAAAATTTTTACAACTAAATAATTTATTTCAAGATTTGAATGTTACAATTGAATATAAGTTTAACCGAATCGAGTAACAATTAAAATATTTATTAAAAATGGAAGAGTTCATAATAATGATTAATTATTATTATTATATCAAATTGCAATTATTTTTATCAATGTATCATGTAAAGTGTTTTAATTAAAGTATATTAAATCGTTAAGCTGATGAAATTTGAAATTTATATTTTATCATTATATTTTTATTAATTTTATTTAAAATATTATAGTTTAGTAATTTACTTTTACTTGGAAAATTTTAAGACTGATATTTATACAAAAATAACGATCTATCAATTAAAATACTGTAAAGCAAATGATTTATAATAGCTACTTTTTAGATAAGAAAGAAAAGTTTATCCCGCCATATTTTTTTACTGTAAATTATTTTGTAAATATCTTGATCATTATTTTAACTTAATTTTTAAGATTTTAGCATGAAAATTTTTTTAAAATTAATTGATTTTTAATTTAATTGAAGCCTTAAGTATCGCAAATTTCATAATTCACGAGCAAAACTTTCAATATTTTGGATATCTTTTTCAGAACGAAATTTAATAAAATAATTAAATATCAATTATAAATAAATTATCTCTATGTTAGGTAATTTTTAATTATTTATTATTTAAGTTGTTATGAAAGTTTTTTATTATTATAATATAAAATGAATAGAATAATTAAATGCAAACTACATACTTATTGTGGATGATTATTTAATCAAAGTGGAAGTTACATGTAATAATTACGAAATAACTTGCATTTGTAAAGAAGCACAATCTAAAGCAAAATTATATATATATAACTAATTTTGCTTTAGATTGTGCTTCTTTACAAATGCAAGTCATATATATTCCAAAAGATATCAAAATAGAAAATAATAACGTAGATTGGATTATGGAGGAAAACTTAATAATTTCAAGACCAGTGACAAATATATTTCCTAATACTTTTAACATAATCATACTCTCTGCTAAAATAAGATGTTTAAATGTTTTTAATTCTTATAAATCTGAAAAATGGTAACTATCATTTAATTGCATAATTGTCTTAATGAGATATAATTAATTATACAGCTTATAAGTGAGAAATCAATTAAAAATATATAAATTTTAAATGCAGTTTGTTTTATTAAAAATTAAAAATTTTGAACTATTATAGTATTGATGGTATTTTCATTTTACATAAAAAATATATTGGAAATTTATAAATTTAGCATCCTAAACGAATTTCTGACTTAATAAATTAATTTAATTAATTTCTACAATTGTTACCTGAAGAAAATTTAAACCAATTTTGAAAATATAAATTTAATACCTTTAGTATATATTTATAGGCAGATTGTTACAGAATATTCAATATTGTCAAACATTATTATAAAATAAAGATAAATTCTTTATTGTATTCTAAAATTAGGTCTTATTTTATTTATCAATTTAGTTTATAAGCGTAAAACGTGTATACAAGTAGAACG